ATTTTTCATTTGGCTTTGTTTATGTCATCTTTTGCTCCCATGTATGTTTCTCGTGAAAAGCTTCAGGAGGCACGTCAAATAAAAACAGCACCTGAACAGTCCGAATTATTTTATTGCTTCTATGCAATATAATGCTTATGGCCCTTACCATTAATGCAAATTTCTTTCGTCAACGCTGAATATTTTCTATAAGTACGTCAACAAACTAGCAAAATATTAATATTTTGCAGCTCTCTCAATCTGCCGGTGCTGTCACTATTTTCTGATCCTACTAGCTAATTTACATACCTATCGCAGGAGAAATTACGCTTGGGTAAATCAGGAAGACAATAGTTTTAACAAATGTACGAGAAAATCCATAAATGAGCACAACAAAGTTGTAAGCGGATATTCCAACTTTTGCTATTATATTTATATGCACCTTTTTAAACCAATGACCACTGTACCACCACGATATCACAACGTAAGTGCTCTTGTCCCATTAAGTGTCATGAAAGGATGGAGTCGGAGAAATGCGACAAAAAGACGCTGCTGCCGACGCCGCGGACACCGAGAACAAAATTTCTGCGAAACGAGGTCTTAAAGTTGTCTCGTTAAAAAGAAGATCTTCACGCTCAAACTGAGCTGCGCTAAGGCAACACCATTTTAGCAGGCGCTCTCGCGGCCGCCTTCCAACGCATACACTCTAATAAAAAATCGGCCTTGTATCTGCATGTTACACTGCAAATATCATCGAAAGGCGATAGTGTTGCGTCTGGAGAGAGTAAACAAAACGTTCATTTGATGTTCTGCGCAAGAAAATTGGTGAATGGTATTCTAAAGGCGCTGCGTTAGAGTGCCTCGAACGTGCGGCGTAGGTGAACGAGCGCATCAAGTCACGTCACACGTGAGACGTGAGCGCTATCTGGCAGTTATCCTGAAAAACAGAGCGCGCGGCGTGCGCGCCCATCTGGGACATGATAAGCTGTAGAACTCAGGATATAGATAAGGTTTGGACACTTGGGAGAGGGTTGTTGGACACTTTGGAGAGGAGGGTTGGACACTTAGGAGAGGATATGGAGGAAAGTATCACTACTTTTCGGTTAAGGCACTTTAACTCGGCGCCCTCCTCTTTGCGACGCACCTGTTCCCAATAAGCCGCTCATCTCCCATGCGTTCTTTGCCCGACCGGCGGGCGATGGGGAAGCAGGCACTCGTGCAGGTGCTTATCTCGCGGTGGGGGAGAATCTTACGACTTGCGGTTTCTCCAGAGCGATTGTGTGGTAGTTACCGAGCGCACAAAGGTCACATCGCTCGCTGCACACTTCCCGTTTGCGAAAAGCGCGCTTTTCAGACACAGTGAGGTAATAACTGTGACACTTGCTAATTCACGCTTTTCTGTACCTGTGAGTATATTTCGTGCGTCGTTTTCGTTTGAGCAGTGCGGTAAGTGTCTAGCTGTGAACGTTGTTAGTTCAATTTCATCCCGTATGTGTTGTTTTTGTGCGTCATTTGCGCGTAAACTGCGCACTGCATGTGTAGATCTGCTTCCCATTCTCGGCGTAACGTTTCAATTTATTGCTCACGCATTCACTGCTTCGCCCTTGCGGTGAAACTCTGACATTTTTTATGATGTTGGTAACCACTACATTTATAGTTCTATCTACTCGTGTGAGAAGTTTTGCAGTGAGGGCTTCCACAAAAGCTCTCTTGCGTCATTAGACGAGGGCGAGCATCTCAGCTTCTTGTGCTTGCCGCCGTTTTTTCAATTGCTGCATCATTCTGGCTTCTGCCTACTTCAGTATACTCAAGTTCTGGCGTGCTGCACTCGACTGATAGTCATTGTTGTCACGTCATCTGTAGATCTAGAACTTTATTGTCTAGAGCCTGGATGGTATATGCTATGGCTGTCTCAGCAGGGAAGATGACCGAGGCACTCGTGGTGAGTAGAGAACTGAGCCTGTTGTTACCCATCACAGTGGTGGCGTGTAAATGATTCGCTTAACGCAGCATTACAATGGTCAGGCGGTGGATCCAGGGCTGTCTTTTGGTTAGTGCGAGAGCTGCTTCGGTCAGGTTGTCGGTGAAGCGAAGTGTCCCGTGAGTTTTTTGATGTGCTAAGCAACCCCGGCAAGTCATTGGGTGCTCTCATATGCGAGCAGTATCACGCTGCTCCTGGCTGGGGTAGCTGTTTCTTCTTACATTCATTTCCAACAGACTAGTGGTCTCCGGAGAGTCGTGTGCTTCTGTGTACATGTGGCGGCCACATCGGCAGAGAAATGTGACTCTCAATTGAGAGCAGACACGTTCTTCATGGCGATTAGCTCTATAGGTTGTGCAATGTTGGACGGACCTGTAGTATGCCTTGCATATGTAGTCCCCACTCAGCTACGCCCCGTAAGAAGGAACGCGCTGTCCGTTGAAAGTGGTAATTGCAGCTGCGGATGCTCCCGGCATGCGCGCGGCAAGAACCATATATTTAGAGTCCACATGAAGTCCTGCAACAATCTCCGCGGGAGCTTGTGCCTGGTTTAAGGCCGTATATCCCTTAAGGGTGCATATCATCTGTGAGTCGAATGTGTGGACATGACCTACTACAAGGCGGGAACGTGGGGTTTTCTCTCTGGCCGTCCCAATCATTCGGAGAGAGCACGTTTCCAAAGGTGTGCGTGGCCGACTCTTTTCTCCGCATTTCGCCACTCCCGCAGAGGATTAAAAAAGCTACGCGCTGTTGCCGTAGTTTGCATGTAGCGAGAAAAATATGTTTTTGTGCTTATGTATAACCTAGTAATCAATATTAAATGTCACGTCAAGGTGTTAGAGAAGCAAAGTCAGTGCTGTGGCGATTACACTCTCAAACTAGCTTTTTCATTGTATATTTGTGCCACCCATGTTAGAGCACCTATTATAGTCCTGCGCCTGCAATAGATCCGCATGTGCTGGAAACCTACTATACTTTGAAGCTTGTGGGCTGTATAGTATGCAGTGAACTGGCGAAGCAGGAAAAAATGACAGTGCAAAATGGAGGAAAGTTAATGGTTCATGCTCACTGGCGAAGTCTCAACTTTTATTTGGTATTTTGGGCTTGCTAAAAAGGCAATGTGTCAATATTTTGAATCCCGCAGAAGTACAATTTAGGCTAAACATGAATGCAATAATGCATGCCAAACTGCGAGTGAAGCAGAGCTTTGCGCTTGCATCGTCCGGAAAAGGTCCCGGAAACCCGCATATGGCGAGTATTGACACTTGAAAATTGCATAGTGTTGTGTTTTTTACTGTAACTTGCCTTGCTCCACCCCGCAGTAATATGTCAACAAATGTGGCCAATAAATGAGTGTCAGTGCACCGAAACTTTCATTTCCGCCAAATGTACCTAACGTCTGTGCACTAACGCAAGTGCCGATGCACTCTAAACTATTATTATGTGTCACAGCAAAATACGAGTGCCTCTAACGCTCTTTTTACGAGCAATGAAACAAGATTTACAAAAAACGTTGCTATGCCTCATAGCATCTCTCTCGAAGTAAAACAATAGGCAATAGCAACATTTTTTCAGAATGTGCAGCAAACCATAGATTCCCAACGTGCGCGAGACTTCACTGCGCGCCGTGGCCACCCAAAAAACGACAAAACTCAACCGAAAATATGTGCTAGTAGTACTTCTTAAAAAAGCTGAATTCATTTACGTAAGTTGAGTACGCTATTTGCTTCAGGACAATAAGTATCAGTTCTAAACAACATATATCACTATTTTATTCAGACTACAGTGACTGCAGGAAGCGTTGTTCACCATTGTATTCCAAAACTTTGCACACTGAAGATATTTATCAGTTACTATTTCAAACATGCAGCATACATTATTCTTTGAGTACATAACAAGCAATTTTAACTTTAAATTGTTAAAAGCACCATTTTATTGCATTAACTCTGTGTTCATCAACTCTTCCTTTTCTCTCATTTTCTTCCTTTCCCCTACAGGGTACTAAGTCTCTTTCATTCTGCTTGTGTTTGCGGTCTGTACGAAAGCGATGTACTCACAATGAGCCTCCATCGAATATTTCGAAAGTCAAGTAGTAAAACAGTGATGTAATCTGGATCTTTGTACACGTACCTTCGATTTCTGACAGAGCTGTATGTTTCGCTTCGCCACGTCAATCTGAATTTACGCCAAACTAGGGAGAAACTTGGAAGAAAATGGTGCCGTGGCGTCTGAGTAAAAGTTGCCAAAAGTGTTTCGCTAACAACAACATTTTTGGGCAGTGTAGCAATCGCATGTTTTTGCACTGTTCCCTTGTCTCCAACTTCATGTTTAGGCTAGCCAACATAGCCTAACATGGTTAACATCACTGTCTTTCTCCATCATTTCTCTCTCTTTTTTTCTCGGTCTGCACCTTTCTTGCTGTCATTTCTGAAGACAACAAATGGCTGCTGCTTAATCTTCTCAAGTTTACTTCAGTGGAGTGCGCATCGAAATCATAGGAATTCATGGCATTATGTACATTCGGTGACAAGACTTAAGCACCACCAAGAAAGCAAGAGAACAAGTGTGAAACAGTAAAAATGAAACAGCCCTGATGAGAACGCCTGACAAAGATGTACCGAGATACACAATAGGTGCTGAACATTTAGTGACTTGAGTGACTCTCACTGACTTTTGCCAAGTAATAAAGATACAAATTTCTTTTTCATGCTCTTTGTCAGCGCGACAACTGTCTTCTTGGTGGTCTCCTCTATCCGGTGATGAAACCTAGAGTAATTAGCATAGGCTCCCTTTGAAGATGCTTCCGCCAGCAGCAGAGTCAGAAATTCAATTGCAACCCTCTTCACGAAGACATGGTCGTATCGGTATCCTGCTCTTGATTATCTAAATCTCCATGTGGTCATAAAGTATGCTTCCAGACTGAAATTGGATTTACAGGCTGCCTATAAGTTAAATGTTTAGCTCTCTTTTTGATGGGCATTAGGCGTTATTGTACAAATGGCACGAATGCTGCCGCAGCCTTCTAAGATTGAAGTTGGCCCTATTTACTCGCCTTCATCTTAGCCGTCAGTTGCTGCTGGTCGCGCTGGATGTCGGCGTTGCCAGGCGATGTGTGGCGCCACATCTTCCACCCGATGGACGAGTAGGTGAATGTCAACACCAGCATGGGAGTCAGAAAGGTCACAGTGAAGATCACAGCCGTGTACACCTGCGACAGTGTAGTAAAAGGCTGGCTTTAATCTTTGACACTGCCTCAATAACAATAAAAGTGATCATAGCAATGTAGAAATCTAATAGTCAGAGTGCATGAAGCCTTTTACGGGCGCATTTCTGTTCAAAGCACACAGGCAAAACATGGATGGCAGTGCTTCGCGTACGCGTACATTAGCAAACCAAATCTGTATGGCGTGAAGCGTTTCAAGTATATAAAACCACTATTTCACTCGTATTGCTGTACGGGTGAAAATTGGTGGCTCAAATACTCGGCTGCTGGCCCGTAGGTCGCGGGATCGCATCCCAGCGGCGGTGGCCGCAGTTCCGTTAGAGGCGAAAGTGCTGTAGGGCCGTGTGATCAGATTTGGGTGCACGTTAAGGAACACCAGGTGGTGAAAATTTTCAGATTACTCATATACATCATCTACTATAATCGTATGGTGGTTTTCGAACGGTAAATACCACATATCGATCGATCGATTGTTCTTGCTAAACGTAGACTTAGTAACTGATATTGGCTCTTTCCCAATTTCAGTCCCAAGTTTGAACAATTTGTAAAAATGGAACTGCTCAGCCCGAGAAGAGAATCACTTCGCTTTAACCATATTTGTTGAAAAGAATAAATTGTTGCCAAAAATAGCCAGCACAAGTTGGATATGCGGCTGAGAAGTAAAAAAAAATGATTCAGTGACTACAATTGGTAACCTTAATAACTATATTTCCATCTTATCAGTAGAACCTCACACAACAAAGTAGCTCGCTTCATTGTTACAGACAACTTCACGTAATCTCAGTGGGCAAAAATTGAAAGAACGCCCTTGTGCTTAGAATCAGGTGCTCGGTAACAAAACCTAGGGGGTCACAACTAATCCCGAGTTCTCCACTAAGCTGTGGCTCACATTGATATCATAGGTCTGGCAGTGAAAACCGCATGTTTACACTACATTATTAACATCTGGGGCTTTATATTCGAAAACCATAATCTGATTATGAGAGATGCCGCAGTGCAGAACTTCGGAATTCGTTTACATCTGGTGAGATTCAAGACAGCCTGACACCTCACACTACACAGTTCTGTGCCATTTTGCATCCGTCTAAATACTAGCGCCACGATCGAATCTACGACATTCAAATTAGCATCCGAGCGCTATATCAACTGCTGTGCCATGGCGGACATAACTATATAATGCATTAGATTGTGTAAACCCTATGAGTTATGAAGTGACGATTCTGAAGTGGACAGTTATAGTATATTAGTAATAAAGTTTTGAGAACTATTTTCGCCCTTCAAAATGAAGTGTCTCACGACCTTCATTCTACATTTTTGCGCAATTCACAGCGTTCATAATTCATCTCTTTGCTCTTCGTCAAACGGCCTACACTTCAAGTTCTTGGCTGTGGGGAAGGCCCGAGAAAGAGCAGAGAAGCTGGGTCTTCCCGTCCCGACATTGTTCTAGGCAGGAGTCAGATCTCTAAACAGCTCATATCGTTCCTTAAAGACCAAATAAATGTCTTTTCTCTCTCTCACACACACTTACGGTGTTATCAATGTCGGAAATGCACATACTCTTTTGTGGACAATGTGAAAGACGACGACGATGTGACTGAGATACTCTCGTTCAGTTTCGCTCGACTGGCCAGACGCGTTCTTGGTTGCGCCTGTGAAGAAGCTCGACTGTGAAGAAGCTGCCCGGGCTCAGGATCGGGCGGCAGTATCCTTGTTGTTCTTTGAGAGTTCGTTATTTTCCGGTAACTGTATTGGTCTTTCTCAGCTGAAGCGAGCCATTCAATCTTGATGTCATTTTCTTCCCCCGGCCAAGGGCACTCCCCTTGGTTAGCTTCCACTCCCGCCAAGGATTGGCCGATGGACTATTTGTTACGCAGTGGAGCGAGAAGTGTCCCTGTGGCGCTGGTACCTGCAGATGGGGGCAGTATTCCGATGAAGAACCCAAAGGCGATTCAAGTGGAGCTTCGAAAAGGCACTTCGCATCTCCAGGAGATCACTGAGGTCCGCCAGTTTGGTCGCGGAGGCATCCTGTGCTGTTCCACGGATCAGGAATGCATTCGTGAGCTCCTGCAATGTTCCGAATTCACAGCGCATCCGGTAAGCCCATTTATTCCGGCACACCTCGCATGCTCAAAAGGATTAGTCCGTGGTGTAGACACAAGCCTGACACCTGCAGAAGTGCTCGATTTGTTTTCGGTGGCGGGTGTAATTTCAGTGTACAGGTGCACCCGTACAATTGACAAAATAAAATCCCCAACGGAATCGGGGATAGTGACCTTTTTAGGAACAGTCCAACCTTCCGAAATTAAGGCATGACCACTGATCTATAAGGTAGAGCCACTTTCCCCCAAACCCCTGCAGTGTTTGAAATGTTGGCAATATGGACATAGCGTCAGAGGGTGCCGATCAGTTCTTAGATGCCGTCAGTGTGGTGAAAATCATGACAGCCGCAAGTGCAGCTCCCAAAAAGAGAGGTGCTGCTTATGTAATGAGGCGCACCCTGCAGACTCCGCAGACTGTGCAGCAAAAGAAAGGGAGCTTGCCATATTGGATATTGTAGAACGCAGGAGGTGCTCTCGGAGAGAGGCCGTTGCAGAAATGCAGGAGAGATCCAAAGGATATGCAGGTGTTGCAGCACGCAATACCACCGCCATGGATGCATCTCTCGCAACATCTATCGCAGAGGCCGTAGAGAAGGCTATGGAAAAGGCAATGGAACGCCTCGCAAACAACCTTTTTGAAAGCTTGGCACAATCGGTTTCCAATCAACTATCTCAAATTCTAGGCGTAGCATCTACGAACGATTGGGCTCCTCAGACATCATTGGTATCGCAGCGTACGGAAATAGAAAGTGCGACAAAACGTCAGCGAGTGGTTCCTCCTGAGGCAGGGACTTCCAAAACAACGGAAGACGGTGATCTTACGGAGGATTTGGAAGTATGTGCAGACATAGATATAGACTCCCATAAGGCTCTGAAGCGAACCCGATCTCCCCAATCAAAAAACTCTTCGCATAATTCGAAATCTAAAAAGTATCTTTCCAAAAAAGAATTATTTGAGAACATGTCTAAGAAAGACTTTTTGAGAAAGGGCAATTTGGACAAAGCAGTTTCTGCGACGGTTCTGTCGTCAAAATAGGTTCACTAACCATATTACAGTGGAATTGCAGATCTATATTTTCCGCAGCCACAGACCTTTCATACCTTTCTTCACAACTTTCTCCGGATATTATATCACTGCAAAAGACCTGGCTTTCAACCAGCCAGAAGTTTTACCTAAAAAATTATCGGCTATTTCGATTGGACCGAGCAAGCAGAGGTGGTGGGCTTGCTGTCTTGATATCAACTAAGTTTAGTCACAAAGCTACGATCTCTTATCGTTGTGTGACTCCAGATTGTGAAGTTTTGATAGTAGACATAATATTACCAGACGCTTCTCCCTTGTCGTTTGTAAATGCGTATTTGCCAGCCGGGGTGCAAGACACACGAAGTCTAGACGATATGTTCTCTGCCTGCAGAAAGGATATATTATTCACTGGAGACTTCAATTCACATCATGTGGCCTGGGGTTTTAAAACAGATTTAAGCGGAAAACGCTTGTGCGAATGGGCTATTGACAAGAATTTATCTTGTTTAAATTCGCAATCTGCTACTTTTGTCCGAGGTCTCTCTAAATCTGTAATTGACTTGACATTTTCAAGCTCATCTCTAAATATATGTTCGTGGCAAACTTTAGACTGTTCTACTAACAGTGACCACTTGCCTACTAGTTTTGTACTGAACTTTCCAAGAATACACGTCGCCGAAAAGGCCCGCTCATTCCTCAACTATAGAAAATTAGAAAAAGACTTGAGGGCTACTTTTGACCACCGCAAGGACATACAGGGTGGCATTAGGGCTATGATTCTGTGTGCAGTGTTAAAAAGATCAGTAAAAGACGCAACGTTTAAATTAGACTCGGCCACAAGAGGTTCTTTTAGTCCATGGTGGACTGAAGAGTGCATGAGGAGCTATAGAAAACGGAAAGCTGCACGGAAACAACTGCTGGTCAACCAATGACCAAAAAATTGGTGTGATTATAAATTCACAGCAGCGGACTTCAAACGCACAAAAAGTACAGCAAAAGATGGTTATAATATGAAACGACATGAGTATCTTTCTAGGGCTAAAAACAAAAAAGCGCTCTTCAGATTTTTAAGATCTCAAAAGATGTTACCACCCACTGAAAATATTGACTCTTCTGTTCTTTCCCCCCGTGAGCTCTCTGATTTAGTAGAAAATATTGCGAAAGGGGTTCAAGATAGATTTATCTCAACTATACCACTGCACATTGTGAACCCAATGGCAGGCGAGGATTTCAAGGAGGTTACTTTAGATGAGCTGGAAGTGATAATAAGGCACTTATCTCCTTCGGCAACTGGACCAGACGGGGTAACAAATGCAATGATAAAAGTAATATTCGAGATTCGTCCAACTGAAGTACTTAATCTGGTGAATTTTTCTTTGACAAAAGCTTGGATACCTGCGGAATGGAAGCTGTCTAAAGTGATTCCACTTCTTAAAAAGCAGGAAAAAGGATTCGCCATGGACAATGTAAGGCCGATATCACTCACGTCAAATCTGGTTAAGCTAATTGAAAGAGTTTTGAATGCCCGGGTAATAAAATATATTAATAATAACGCAATATTAAACCCCAGCCAAATTGGTTTTAGATCCGGTTGCTCAATATGGTGTGCGCATGTTGACTTGGAGAGCCGAATACAACTGGCTCGGCGTTGGCGCCAATACTGTGCTTTAGTTACTCTAGATTTGGCTAAAGCGTACGATAAGGTTGAGCATTCAATTTTATTAAAACAGATGGAATATCACCCCTTTCCCAACTACATCACTGCGTGGGTGTCGGAGTTTTTAAGAGGGAGAGAATATTACTGCTTTAAAGTTGGGTACTCATCGAATAGATATAAGCAGACACGTGGCGTAGCACAGGGG